AAAAAAACAAAATTACAAATCCTCGAAAACTAATTACGTGCGACCATCTAAACTAAAATAGTGCTTTAAAAAAAAATCCAAATCAAAAAATCCTTTATAATGCACAATATATCCCCCCCAAAAATTATACAAACCTTTTTCTTTATTATACTATATAATTAATTTTTCTACCATAAATTCCTTAAAAATTTTCTATTTTATTCAATATTAATATTATTACCATTAAAAATTAATTTTCAATTAATATATATATATATAAAATACCGCAAAATACAGAATTCAATAAAATTCAAATAAAAATTTTAAACAAAATTCAATTTATTTTATATCCATTCTATAAAATAAAATAAAGAATTCAAATTATATTATAATCTATATTTATATTTCAACATATATTATATGGTAATTAATCCATGTTATTTCATCCTAGAATAATTATAAATCGTGGAAAAAAAAAAGATATTTTTCGTGGATCTTTCCCGGCCTCATCGCGAAACATGGTCCTACAACCAGATCTAGCTAACATGAATCGGGACATGTCATAGTATAACCAAATAGGGAGAGACATCTTGCAGCATGACCCCAATAGATGGTTAAACATTTCCACAGCTACTCAGGGTCACTTGCAGCATCTGCGCGACCATTTGTAATAGAGTCAGGTGCAACTCAACCCAATCCTCGTGCCAACTACCAACACAAGGTGATGCAACTTGCGGAATGTTGGGAAGTTGGACCTAGACTTTAGCGGCACATTCGCGAAACTTTCGCGAAATTTCATTGGTGCTTTCCCCGGGAAGCCGTAACATTTGCAAACATCTGCACAGCTCGTCAGAGCAGCTGCAGGTCGTTGCCTCACTGTCAGGGCTGTGCCTACCCAGATTGCTAATCTGTGATAGTAGGGACTTACGCACTGCCAGGGTTGGGCACGGACATATTGAGGCTTCAGTTCGTTAGTCTGTGACATATGGGGACACTTCCGCCCACTGGCTCTGCCGGAGGATTGCCTTGCGCTTCTATTCTTTGTCAGTCCGGTATAAATGAAAACAATGAAAGCGATGACCTTCGATAAATCTTTCGCGGAAAAAAACAGATACTTTCGCGAACCTCATCGCGAATCTTTCGCGGATGGTTCTAACAACATCTGAAAGGCTGTTTTATATAAAACTCCTTACACGGGGTTTTCGATCAACTCCCATATATTGAAGTTTGTGTTGCCAAATGTGTGATCGTATGCGGTTTTGAGCCTGGGTATTCACGGCGCTATAGGGTGTTGCTGCCAGATTTGTGGCCGTGCACGCTTTGGAGGTAGTTCGCAGGTGCCGCTGCAGGGTTTTGCGAGATGTCCATGGCCACACGCGCTTTAGAGAGATGTGTGTGGCCATGTGCGCTTCAAAGCCTGGATGCTGGTGGATATAGGCAGAGCATATGAGTGCTACACGCCTAAGAATCTCGCAAACTACTAAAGATTACCCAAGCATTGGGCGCTGGTGCCGCTGCAGGGTGCCGCCGCTGGGTGTTGCTGCCGGGCATCTATGGCAGTGGAGCTTGGGTGTTGCTGCTGCTGCTGCCCAAAATATCTTTTGCTATCTGGGGTCTGCTGGCGTAATTCATTTCAAAGGTCGAGCAAGTTGAAACAGTTACGTAGATATTATAACTATAATAACATTAAGTACTTTTTAAGCATGCGTTCTAGTGGATATCCACCATAAAAGGAAAATTATCCAAGTATAAAGTACAAATAAATGCAGGCCTTGGTATGGCAATTTATTCTTGGCCTTGAGAGGCCTTGGATTCTTCCGTTTTGGAATCCGTCCATTTACGTGACGCATAATTGGGGTTTACAGCTTTCACATGACACGTCTGGGGTGACTGCAAAAGGCACGGCGGATGAAGGCGGACTTGAAGAGCGAGGTTGCAAACCAACCGATGGTCTCATCGAGCATACCGCAACCCCTTGCGGTCTTGCGCTTTGCGGCTGGCAGGATTGAGAATCCATGGCTTTCAAAGGATGTTGTAGGCCGTAGGCTTGGATATCCAACTGTGTTGATTCTGTAATGACTCTGCAGTGGCCGTGATGAAACCGCCATCGAACAAACTTTCCCTTGCTCGTGCGATGGATAATCGTGACCGCATCATATCAGCGCCTTGTGGAGAGGTACTCCGCCACATCGGTGCTTCCAGAGCGCAAGAGCAAGGCTTTCAAACGTTTTTGCTCATGGCCGAGCCGATCAACCTGGGAATTGAGTTCAAAAATAGCGCTCCAATCCTTGCGAACCACAGTCTGCATGACTTGGATTCCGAAGGGACGGAAACCTAGACTAGATGAAGTGCCAACGATCTGCTCTGTGGCCAAGAAGTCTTGTGCAGAAAAGTAAAACCTTTCGAACTGCAAGCCTCAAGCCAGTAGCCGGCTAATCCTAGAATGGCCAATTCTTGAGGCTCAGAGATTTCGGATTGACATGCGCAGTCCCTTTGCACCTCCGCAGTTTTCTCTTGCATCTTTCTCCTTGAAACTCAAGACTTGGGGAACTACCCATGTACATTGTTGACATTGTTTCACTTCGTTTCCAGATTCTAGAGTAGCAGCTGTTGAGAAGGGCTCTCTTGTAATTCACTGAGGGAAAGAGCATTCTTTGCAGGATGCAAAAAACATCAGCACACTTCGGCCAATGCTGGACCAGCACATCAGCTTCTCCATCAACGGCCGACCACAACAGGGTTTGGCGCCTCCAATATTCAATTTCCTCCTCACCAAAGCCTTTTTCAACATCCTCCAAGCCTGATGTGCACGAACTTCCTGAGGTACTGATGGGAGCAGGATGTTTTGTGGAAAAGTACAATGAAAAGCACAGAAACATGAGCACTTCCACATTCGTGCAAACGTATGTATGTGGAAAGTCAATATTTCAAGTCTCAATCCCTAGGTCCTAGGTTAGGTCCCTCGTTGTAGTGGCTTATCACATCATGTCACATCTTACCACTAAATCACTTGCTCATCACTTGCTCAGCGAGACAAAGGTTTAGCCGCAGCCAGTCACTTCCAACACACAGCTCCAGTCAAACTGCATGACGCGTGTATATATGTGCAAAACTCAACTGGTGACTTCGGGACGCACTTGCACGTGGCTTTCTTGCTTCCGCCTCTGTCGGTACGAGATCTGATCGTTCACAGTTGTTTTTACACACTGCATATTCTTCAGTCTTGCCATAACACATTCCAACACAAATTGTCTGAAAACATTTTGAACACTCCCGTAATGTCGCCACAACGAACAGTTTCAATTGGTTGAGCCAGCACACCTACCTTTAAAAATATTGACACTGACCAAGACTTACTTGTGGCCCAAGGGGGGGCGGCGAAAGCTAGGGGAAGAAGCAGCGCTGGGGCAGCAGAGCCCAGGCCGGGAGTCGCAACATATCATGGTGGAGGGCAAAGGGGGAGAGTGCCAACATGTGCCAACAGTACCCCCACCCCAATACAACCCCATCACAGGAAAGCCTCAACCACGCCAGCAACAGCAGCAGCAGCAGGCAGCAGCAAAACAGCACCAGCCTGCGGCAGCGGCAATGGCAGCGGCAGCTGCAGCGGCAAAGAAGCAGCAACAAAGAAACAGCAGCAGCAGCGGCAAAGAAGCAGCAGCAGCAGCAGCAACAGTTGGGAACTGAGAAACGGTCAGGGGGGAAGGGGGGAGTTGAACCCGCAAAGGGAGGGCGGTATATCTTTGATATATCAGATGTTAGGAGGAGAGCTACAGCTAGCTTTCGTGTACGAACCTGCTGCAGCTCTGCTTGCAAACTTGCCACCTGTGATTCAAACTCTTCTCACAACTCGGCCAACTCTCGGCTAGCAGCAAGACGCAGCAAGTCCCACATGTTGGATGTTGGTGATCATTCTAAGCTATCGTGCCGATTCTTCTATAATGTCTTCTTGGAACCTAGAAAGACCACCTTGAACTTTGAACCCCAATGCCATCTGGAAAACAACATAAGGCTAGTCTGTCTCCACCTTGGCCTGGGAAGCAGCAAGTGATTGCTCGGCCTGCGACAAGCCTCATTGCGATGCGGGCCAAACAAATCTACAGTAGGCACATCTCTAGACGGTATTTAAGGTGCAGCATCTAGCTCTTCATGTTTATATATGAGTTCAAGGATGTTCAAGGTATGCTTGCAGGGGCCTTTTTGTTGAAATATGATGTGTTTTTCAAAGACCCGATAAGCCGGGCATGGTCAAGGAAAGGGACTACGGTAAAATGAAAAGGTTCAATTTTTTGGGGGAATGTGGGTGCCTCTGGAGGGAAAGGCTGAGTGGAAGCGAAAGTAGAATACCTTGAATAACCACCACTTGGCAAGCTGGAGGCTCAAATCAAACAAGGAGACACTTCAATTTCTGAGAAACAATTTCAGAAACATGCCAAATTGCAAAATAAAAACATGTCATCCGGATTTGCTGCAATTGCAGCGCTAATCATGGTTTCCTCCAGATTCCTTCTTAATTAATTGGAAAGAAGCCTTTCGTGGCAGGTTCCCCAAACACTCAAACCGCCAGTTTTGAAATACGGCATGTTGAGGGTGAGACCATGTCTTTCTGTCTTAGAGCATCATCAAATCCTGAAACCACCCCCAATAGCCCCAATAAGCAAACTTTGGTGGAAATCAGGCATCCAGCAGCAAGCGTGATTTTGGGGCACAATTTTGTGGGGACCTGCCTCTCCATCTGCCTGCTGGTTTCAGGGCAAACTTCTACCTACTAGACAGGCTCTGCGCAGTGTCCAATCTAGATGTTATCTGTTTGATGTTCTTTGGCCGAACATGGCCGAACAAATTTGCAGTCGACGGATCTCTAGAGTCCTAGAAGTAGGTTCGGTTTCCCTAAAAATCTAGGAACTAAATCATCAGTGCCAGCGCTTCTTCAATGAAGCTTTGTCCGCCGCCTTTAGGGCGGCGGGGGGAGCTTCCTTGAAGAAGAGTGAGCTATCCTGCGTCCTGTCAGTAGTAGCTTACTTGTAGCTAGTAGCTACCTCTCCCTTACTTAATTAAGTAGGCGCCTACAAGAGAGGGGAGCGGGCAAAAAGAAAACATAAATAATCTTCAGACCGGTTCGACACGACATGGAATATTCCGACCCTTAGCACCCAGGCTATGCAGCAGTCCCTGAGTCTTGGTCATCATCTCCACCTCCTGTGCTCGGCCATTAGCCACCATCCGCTCCACTTCCTCACATGTGGATCGACAATTATAGATATTATAGGGGGCCCCGAAGAAACGGGAGTAACTTTGGTGTGGCCCCCTGGTCTGGCATCTTAGCAGCGGTCCAGGAGAAGCCTCAAGAGTAGAAAGCCGACGACCAGAACAAAGAGGAAGAGGCCAGTGTTGATGGGCGTGGGAAACAGTTCGGCTTCCGCCGCTCTAGGAGATGGTTGGTTGTTTTTGGCTGGAAGCCATATGCTATTCCATATGTCATATGTCTTTGCTTTTGATGCTTGGATTGTCTATCCATATTCCCGCTGATGGTGCGTGGTCCCATTGATCCCATTGTATGCCATGTTGCTGCAAACCAGATGTGTCTGTAGGATGTTGTTTTCTTCAAAGTGTTTGGTAGAAGGGCGCAGAGACGGAAACGTTACAACTTCATGGAGGCTCGAGACAGAGTTGAACATTGGTCATGCTTGACAGTGTGCGCTTTGAGATGCTTTGAGTGTGTGAGTGCGAGTGAGTGTGTGTATGTCGGTCTGTAGTTTGTGTTTTGTCTTCATCTGAGCTGTGAGAATCGCCAGGGGAACCGTCATACACCTGCTTCCTTTGATATTGTATACCCTTCTTTTCTGGGTGTTCCAGCTTAGATGGTGTATTGATAGCGTTCTATTTATGCCATGTATCCGGAGCCCCCTATAATACAGTTTAGAACTTTGATTGAATGAGGCATATTGTTGCAGTTCTTTCACCGCGCCCGACCGGTACTTCATTGTTCAATCATGCCATAACTCACTGCCGGGACCTCAAGAGAGTACGATGCTGTATCATCAGGCATCATAAATAGTTCTAATATGAAGATGGAGTGGTATTCTACACGACTTTGCGCCCTGTCGCATGATTGGTATTTTCTGAAGCCTCCTTCTTGGGTTGCAGTGGAGTCCCAGGGTGATGTTGTTTGCAAAATACTTTCTCTATGATGGACCCCCGGGGCTTGCCGCCGAAGCTGTCTTAGCTAGAGTAGTTCCTCAGTTGGAAAAAGTACCAGTAGCTTCATAGGACTTCACAATGCTTCACATGTCCAAGCTTTATCGTCATTTGCCCTGCCTTGACGCGGCTTCTTAACTCTACTGCTTGAGCATCCATCGCCTGTCGATAAAGGCAGTTGAACTCCAGGCAACAAAGAGCCCGACACAACCCATGGCTGAACATCATGGGCACACTTTTCATCCTGGTTGGAAAAACAGAGATAAAGAAACAAGAAGACAAGCGGGTAAGTAAATCCCTTTAATACGTGCCCCCGCCTCTTAAAGGGCTCTTATTGTTTTACTCTCAAGCCGACACGAGAAGGGTCACCGGCGACCAACGAGCTTCCGCGTCGAAGGTCGAGCAAACCAGACTGAGCTACACAATGAAGGTTCACAACGAATCAAAAGGAACGCACCATGACGCTGGGGTATCCTTACCATATTTTCTGTGCCTTTCTCCTCAAGCATCCAAAGATGTTTTTGATGTCGAAGGGATGATTGGGTTCAATTGGGTCCCGCTAACCGCTACCAAGACGAAACAATTCGAGCACTGCTGCAAAATCTGTGGCCTTCATCTCTACCTGGAGATCGGTGTGCCTGCTCTCCTCCAAGGACACAGAACACTTTCAACATGTCAAGAATGATGAGAAAACTCTTAGTCATACTCCAACAACATAATAGAGCCCCCACTCAACCTTGACTACCGGAGTGGCACTTGATTCTCTTCAATTAGGCATCTGGTCCTGGTGTTGTGAGACACTTTCCTTCAGTGTGCCTGCAAGTCGCTGCCATGCGCTAGCATGTTAGTAACTTGCAAAAGTACCAGCTCAATTTGGGCAATATCCCAACATCACACTAGGTGGGTGAGACAACTGTCAGTCATGCAAATATATACTAGCGTGCTCATGCAACCATAAGGTCCAGTGATCTCACCAATCGCTCTTCTGCCAAACAGCCCATGCACGCATATGCTATATTTGTATTATATGTTTTTGTATAATTTTGTCTCTACAACGAAACAAAATTGCTAGCTTGTTCAGCTGGCGCGAAAATCATCGACGCTTGGGCCATTTATTTGGCTGCTTCCAAACCAAAGCAATACTAGCAACTGAACGGAGATGTTTGCCACAATTTATCCAACCACACCCGGTCTTCACCTGCTCGTCTCAGAAGAGCTTGTCCACAGCTTCTCCAATACTGCACCTCTCTGACATGCGCCCGGCCCGAGTTGATCTGAATTCCTCGGACATCCGGTACATACATCTCCAATAAGCTACTAGGAACAAGTGCATCGCTTCTAGTAACAAGTGCCTTACTAGTAACAAGAAGCTACTAGGACCTTTTAAATTAGTAGCTTCTTGTTACTAGTAAGGCACTTGTTACTAGAAGCGATGCACTTGTTACTAGTAGCTTATTGTTTAAATACAAATATAGAGGATTCTATGGAAGAGATAGTTACTTAAAAGGCGCCCTCACCTCGACACGGCAATATTTTTGTGACTTTGCGTAGAAGTCAAACCAATCAATCGCACTCACTCCCCGACCATGACACAACCAGCCCGGTACTTACTGTAAATCCCCTTACTGTCGCAACAGCATCAGTGACTTTCCGACCAATTACTTTTGACATTTTTGCGTGTGAACTCTAGACTCTAGTTCTATATCTATATATTATAACTTCGAAACGCTCCACTCAATTACGTTTCTTTTGAGGCCGCTGTCAAGTATATTTACGCACAGGCTGGAGACAAAACCCTGGTCCGAGGGATTTGCGCAATCAGTACCTAGAACCACCCCGATGGCATCTTGCTGGGGACACTGAAGAGCTTGTTTGAAAAGTGGCAGCCCCGATGCTGTCGGGTGGAGAACAATCCATCAACAACAGCATGGCACAAAGCAAATTACTTCCTCAAGAATCCTCAAGCAACTGGCTGTGCTGTGTGAGCCCAAGATTGCGGGGCTGGATGGAGATGGCCTCATCTTCTAAGCTGTCCTTTTTGCTCTGCTCTTGTTTCAAGGACTTTTCGAACTCCAACTCTCTGGTCCGGAGCTCTTCCAACCTGGGCCAATCGAAGCGTCTTACTTGTGAAGGAAATCGAAAATAGTTTTCCATCACAAGTCTGAGTTGCGTCTTTTTTAACTGATGATGTAAGGTATTATCTTTTTATTGGTGCCTACGCCAAGCCTACTTTCTACCTAGTTTTGGCCTACGCGCAGGTCGAAGTTAGGATAGGTTGCCTTCGCGGCCTACGCGCGTGGAGTTTTTGTTAATCACTGCATGGATTCGCATACGCAGCTACAGCTTTGGAAACTTTTCGCTGTTTTCGTCTATTGTTTTGCAAGGCGTTGGGTTCCTTCTTAACCATGGCGAAAGGCCTACTAACGACAAAGGCAGGCCATATGAACAAGGAATAGTTGCAAACCTTCACTTAGCCATGTCTGGGCAAAGTCTTCCCGCACCAGTTTTCGCCTACGCCCACCCTACTTTTCGCCTACGCGGTGCCTGCGCCTCACTGAGCAGTTTCCGCTGGTTTGAACATATAGTCTGGGGGGGGTCTACGCATGACTTATTCGCTGGGTAGGTTATTCCACCCCCCAGCGAATGATTTGCTAAAACAAGAGTAACTCCAGCTAGCTGATGCTAGCTTTCGTGAGATGTTGGGTCATGTTCATGTTGGCCCAACCTGTGGTATGTCCCATGGTTCACTACTCCACTAGCCACTGCATGTAGGTTTTGCTAATATGTGCTCAACAAGATCTTGAGGTCGACGCACGAAGTTCAACACTCCCAACTATGGCTCTACAAGTAGAGATCCCCGGAACACCGGGGGGGTAGGATGGCGTAGCGCGCTAAGGGCTCAACCTTTTCTCGAGACGCCCACCACAGCTGCGGTGATGTCGGTTATGCGTGACGTCTCATGTGTCAAACATGTCTCACAAGTGTCTGGGACACTTTACATTGGTGAAAAATGAAAAAGAAGCAAAATGCTTCCAGCTCCCTGCCTCTAGCCTTAATGGCCGCAGGTTTTGCAAAGTCGCCACCTTGTCCTCTTTCCGTGGATGTGGCAGCAGTCCACCCCAGTGCGAAAACACAAGCCGGTTGGCGTCGTGAACACCTCTTCGGGCATACCGGCAAACATGCTCACTGCGTTCTCCTTCTTCTCTGTCTTCTGGATGATGCCCATCAGGAAGGACACTTTGCTTTCCAGCTCTTTGACCTGTATCTTCAGCTTTTCATTCTTGGCCCATAGGTCATTGACGATGTTTCCCGTCACATCGCTGTCCTCTCCATAGTCGAGCGGGTCCAATTCGGGCATAGGCTCCTGCTCCATGGAGTCATTCTTTTCATTCTTCCCCTTGAAGATCTCCGGGCCGAAGTTGTAAATCACCCATCCCATGGTCAGGATGCCAATCACAATGGTGATGACCATTGAGACATTTGCTCCACAATGACCCAGGTTCTTGTGCAGCCTCTGGACATATTCAACTGCGCGTCCACCAACTTTCGCTCGAAGGGCCTTGTTTGACCGGATGGGATGCATGACGATGGCATTCACAACCTTGGTGGCAAACTGCTGGGTGTAGTTCTCAGCCAAAGCCGTGCGCAGACCCATGCCTTGCGCATAGCCCTCAAGGTGAGTATGCCACTAATCGCCACTGCATTCACGCCACAACTGGTTGTAGATGATCGGGCTGGTGGTTCTGACACACGTGGCTTTCTGCACCGGGTTGATGTTGCCCTCATCATCCGGCAATTGTAGACCGTATTCACACATATCAACTCGTGTGTCATAGCCCTGCGTGCGGCTGAAAGCCTCAGTGCGCCATGATCGTGCTGACCAGGGATGCTCAACCAATGCGACGTGACCTTCTTTTCTTTGCTTTTCATAGCTGACGGCAACGAAGGTCAGGCGATTCTCGTGGTCCTCCTGTCTCTTGAGCTCCAAGTTGGCGGCGTAGACGACGCTCTTGGTCCGGTTGGGCTCTTGCGTCGGTGACCAGAGTCTGCAGACTGGGCTGTAGATCACGCCATCGGGTTTCTCCTGTTCTTGTTTTTGAAAGAAGGCTCGTCGATGCGCGGGACAGCCGCGCAGTTGTCCCTGCGGTTTGCAGTCTTGCACCTCCCAGATGACATAGGGATCTCTTGTGCTGGAGGCAGTGATAGTCTTGGCCTTTGACAGGTCACGGTCCAGCTCCTTCATAGCAGCAACAGTTTCGTGGATCTTGTTGAGCTGACCGGGTGGCAGTTTGCTGTCCTCATTTCTCTCACAGCGCTCACGCTTGCCATCAATCTCCGTCACGGAGGCAGCAGGCTGTTGAGCAATTTCACGCACGCTGGAGTGAACTGTCTTGTCAATTACAGTCACCGCACAGACGTTGTCCCGAGGAAGTCCATCAGGGAAACCTCCTCGAAGACATGCTTGTCAAAGTCGTCCGGCGTGAAGACCTGATCGGGGTCTTTCTTCTCCTTGATGAGGTGAGGGTCCTCTGCCAAATGGACAACATACTCTCCCTTTGGCCCCAGCGTCGCCGGCTCCAACTTCTGTCCTTCGCCCCAGGCAATCTGCTTTGCTTTATAGTTGATGGAGGTGCCAAAAACCTCCAAAGCTGGCAAGAAGACAGGGAGTTGACGTCCAAGACATACATCAGGATGTCGCGCCGCTTGCCCTTGAAGTAGGTAGCGACAAGAACGCAGAGAGAGGTCACATCACGTCCTGCGTTGCCAAAGCGCATACCTTTCTCACATCGCCATGCTGGGATGGTGGACAAGTCACAGCCTTTCAGGCTCAGTGCCTTCAGAAGCTTCTTCAACTGCGGTGTGCCAATGAACAGTGAGGCAGCTCCGCTGTCGAACATGGCCACGTCATTTGGCTCCGACTTATCCAAGTCATCGAACAGGTTCACTTCCTCGTCGGACAGGTCGACAACCATGTTGATCTCCTGGTCCGGGTCAGTGTCGGCCTTCCGCTTGTTCTGAGACTGTGCTGGGCACCGTGCAGCCATGTGTCCAGCTTGTCCGCATCGTAGGCACTTGATTGCACCCAAAGCAGCTCGTCCTTGAGCCTTTGCAGAAGGTGGCTTGGGTGGCTTGCCCTCTCCCTTCTTACTCTTCCCTTTTCCAGCTCCACTTCCGCCATACGACCACTCCGGCTGCACCATGGCGACCACAGGGTAGTAGCCCCTGCTCACTCTCATTTGGTTCATCTTGTATCTTGCTTCAGGCTTCAACATAGTTCGCCATGATGTCATCATACTCGGAAGCAGCATCGCAGGCAAGGACGGGATCCTCGTCCACCTCCACATAGGCAGGGTCATCATCCGCCCACGCTGCTTGGCTCATTGAATCATCGGGTCCAATCTCCCACGACTCTTCATCCTCATAGTAGGCTTCATCAGGCTCCGGGTCATAGGCCAGGTCCTCTGCCAAGGTGTAGATGGAGTTGTCCTTATGCTTGAAGCGAGGGTCACGTCCATGACCTCCATCAGGCGTTTGGTCCTGACCGATCACGAAGTTGACGGCCTTCCTCACGGTGTCCAGAGACACCCTGTCGTCTGGACGGTGCTCATGATCAGTTGCCTCTGACTCTGAGATAGGCCAGCTCGATGGAGGTAGTACCATCCAACTTCTCTGGGAGAGCCACATCATGTGCATTCAAGTGCAGCTAGGCGCCTCAGCTGGCGCTCGAAGTTGGCCGTGTACTCCTGCATGGTCTCGGATCGCTAGCGTTGCATGGAAATGAAAAAGTTCTCAAAGTCCTGTAGAAGCTCAGTGATCGCGTCAAACTTGAAGATGGAGTCCAGGCGAGACAAAATCTCTCGCATCCCGCGATCACTCTCGAGCACATCCATCGCCAGCTCCTCGCAAGCGTCCCATGCTCTGTTCTTGAGGGAACTGAGGATGTTGAAGGTTGTTTCGGACTTGCGTCCTGATAGTTCCATCTTCTTCTCATAGAGCATCAGCCGTTTCCTGAATTCCTTGTAGTCAGCAGCCTTGCCCGAGAACTCTGGGATCAGCTCATGGGCCTTACCCATGTAGGAGGATGATCCTGACCCATTGGTGGTGGCTCCGCCAGATGTGGATGCCGTTGCCATACTTCAGGATGTAGGGAAGGGTGTAGGTTCGCTCCAGCAGGCCGTGATGATATAGTCCCTAATCGCTGTGGCCTGCTCCGCTACCAACAACAAGATCTTGAGGTCGACGCACGAAGTTCAACACTCCCAACTATGGCTCTACAAGTAGAGATCCCCGGAACACCGGGGGGGTAGGACGGCGTAGCGCGCTAAGGGCTCAACCTTTTCTCGAGACGCCCACCACAGCTGCGGTGATGTCGGTTTTGCGTGACGTCTCATGTGTCAAACATGTCTCACAAGTGTCCGGGACACTTTACAGTGCTAATATCTTGCCTATTTACTCCTATCCAGGTAGCGTTTTAAATATTGAGAAGTCATACTTATTCAAGTCTTCCTGTATGAATCTTCTTGACCCACGGGCTGGGAAATTCGACGCGGCTTCTGCCACACAAAAAATGCAAAACATGCCTACGCCAGCCTACGCCCCCAAGCAAAATGCCTACATCCAACCATTTGCAGGTCAACCACTGGGTCAACTTATATATAACTTTACATATATAAAAAAACAACTCAAGTGGTTGTTCCTGACCTGAGTGTGGTACCGTCTCTGGAGGTCCTTTTCCACGCGAGCAAGTGCCTGCCCAGTGGAGATGCGATGGCCATGTCAAGCTTTCATCATCCTGATTTCGATGCAACAAAACAAAACTGATCGGGCTCGCACTCATCAATAATTACTCATCGCAAACATGCCTCCACACCTCCTGTTGACGCCTCATCCTTTGCTCTTGCTGCTCCTCCCGCACCCGTGCGCGGCGATCCTGGTGGGCGGCAAGCTGTGGCAGGATCTCTTCAAACGTCCATGAGTCCGCATCGCAGGAAAACTGACCAAATGGACGTACAATACCCACTGACCAAATGCATTACGAGGTTGGTCCACTCTTGCCTCAACTTCTGCTGCTAAATCCTTGTGCTTGAGCTCTGCTTCCTCCAACTTGCACTGAAGGATTGCGCCTGTGCTGTGAGGCGTGTTGCAACCAACTACTTTCCATCACAAACTACCCACGACATCCCAGAACTATTCAAACATATTACATCATATTACATAATAGACTACAACCTCTGCAATTAACTTCTTGCTCGCCATTGCATCTCTTTGTTGGGCTGGATTGTCTGCAGCAATCACCAAGCCTCAAAGCTTCTTGTCCCCGCAAACATGCTTACTAATACGAGGTAAACCACCATATCTCGCACGACCAGAGTTGAGCCCCTTCCTTGCCGCATCTGTGCCAGCTCTCGCTGCTCTAAACTCCTCACTTGTGCCTTGTCAATGGCGGGTCAGCCAACGAAGTACTAAAGTGCAGATGGGGCATGCCCACTGAAAACAAGCAACACAAAAGGATGTGTGAGGTTGCTGCACCATCAGATTGCGTTACGTATTTTGTTGCTACCTGAACTCCGGAACAACCAATTTTGCTTCGACATGATTCAGTAGCTTGGTACTTGAGTCATTCCGAAGTCATTCCCCCAAACATCCGCGTTCTGTGGTCTTCTCATGATGCTTTGCACCTACAAGCATCACGCCATGTTTGTTCCTGTGCTCCAATAGTGGAGCCCCGCTCCTGCAATTCTTCTTCCTCGGTTTTGGCCATAGCGTCTTCGCAGCCGTATGCTTGCAGGCATTAACATTTGATCTTTACAAATTCAAATTGGGCAAGCCAAAAGAAATCACAAATTGAATTGCGTTTGACATGTGCCCTGGAAGACGTCTCTTAAGGTGCTGCTCCTCTGACAGTGACACAGTCAGTTCCTAACTCCTAGCGCAAGCTAGTCGCCATGTCGATCAGCTAAAGAGTGCTACAAATAGTGCCACTTGCTTTGCTCCTGAGGTCTCTTGAGAACGTGAGATATCATGAGCTACATGAACAGCGATTCAACATCTGCAGGACACACAATGCGTACATGATGCATCAATGCTTCATCAATGATAATGTTGCGCATGCTGGATTATGCTGGTCTGGACTTGAGTGAGCCGGCAGTTGCAAAGTTGCAAGGTGATATCCATCTTGGTGCCAGTCTATGCAATCAATGCATGAGAGCCCGATGTCTTAGTCCTTTGTGGGGCATTGTAGTCGATGTGTGACACTGCAAGTTGAAACCAGGCTTCGAGCAAAACGTCGTACTGTACTATATGGTAGTTGTATAAAAACACGACAACTATGCAACGTATTTGCACTGAGGTGCCGTAGGTATACTGTATACTGTCTTTAAATGCTTTCTCTTCTTTTGGCGATGCTCAACTGCACAACGACAGTCATTCTCTAGCGAATCTTTCTCAACCTGGTGCCTCTGTTTGCTCACAAATGATGCTCGTCTTTTTGGCAGGCATTCTGATCTTCCCATCCATCAGAGCGCGACACCTTGCGTTTTAGGGAGGTCGAGCAGCAGAAACTTATATATATATAGGTTTTACAATCCTCTCTCCCTCTCTCTCCCTCCTTCCCTCCCCCCCTCCCTCTCCCTCGCTCTCTTTGCATTTGCTTTACAACTCAAGTTTGGAAAATCCAAAGCATTGAACTACGTGAAACGTACAGACGCATGTTTCATTCATCTCTGACTCAATCAGCAGAAGTGGCTCTTTCCAAACATGAAGGGCCCCCACCAACCAGCCTGCCGTAGTACTGCTGCACCATGGACTGGAGGATTGGCGTTGGATCATCCCCAGGAGGTAAACGCGCCAGTTGTTGTAGACTTGCCCAGGGCTCTTCACCTTCCTGCGTTGGTCCCGGCCCATCCAGTAAGAGCAACGCCTGATATGACACCTATTCCGCACATATGATGGACATGAACAGTAGACATGTTACATGTCGTCCTGTTGCACCAATCCGTTACATTTGCGCAAAATATTGCAAATGGTGAACGCCGTAGCCCGTTGTTGAGCTTTTGAGCAAAATGCGTAACACTTTGTCAGTCATCCGTGGCGTTTTTTCGCTTTGCCTCAGCTTCGAGATCCGGGTCTGGGCCTCAGTACTGAAACTGCATGAAACTGCTGCTTTGGAATTCGAAACCACGTAATGAGTCATCACGGAATCAAGTAGTGAGTGCATCACAAAAACTTGCTGCAAAAGGCCCAAAGTGGCCATACTGGAAGAGAGTGAAAAGAGGAGTTCTTTACATGGCGTGTCACTTCTGTGCTCAGCGAAAGGAATTAAATCGAGAGTTGATTTTAGAAAGCAGATTGTCATTTTCCCCACGCCAACGTGTGAGCTGGGAGAACTGAATCTGGTGTTAATTTTTTGTAACAAGGCACATGTCCACAATACTGCTTTGGACAATGGGCCCAAGGCTTCAATCCAGAGTTAATTCATTGTTTTCAAAGATCTGATGACTTAAATCTGAGGTTAATTCTTTCCCAAGGCCTTCTTTCTGTCAGGGCTGCATCAAAGTGTTGGTCCATTTAATGGTGATGTGCTCAGTGGCCCTATAGGGAGGTCTTGGGGAGGAATCAAATCATCAGTGAACACAGGGTGGGGGGAGGAAGGGCCCTAGGGAGGAATTAAATCAGGAGTTAATTCTTTGGAAGAGGGTCAGTGAGCAAGGACGCTACTAGGGGCTCCTGGCCTTACTACTAGGAGCAATGTTCGCT